GCTAGTACTACTACAATGGGACATGATGCAATTTCAAGTTTATAATTGTGTATCTTCAATTTGATGTTACAATTTCATCTACAAATTAAGTATAATTGAAACAAGTTACATATTTCCCATCCTTTAGACAGTTGTTGGAGGTGTTAGCTGTTTTGTCAGATGACTTTGGGACCAGTCAGTACCCGTCATGTCAGTCCTCAACAGCACACAAAAGTTAAGGGAGTCTTTTTTTTCGGTCTCTGTCTTGGTCTTGGTCTCTTCTCGACTTTGTCTTGGTGTTGACTCGGTCTGTCTTGGTCTTAGTCTGAGTCTTGTCTTGATCTCGATACCCTCTGGTCTTGGTAGTGTCTTGGTCTCGGTTTAGGCGGTCTTGACTACAAGTCTAGCGTAGACTGCAGGTACAGGAATACGAGTGCAAATGTAACCCTACTTTTAAAAGCCTATTAAGTATTTGTAAGGTTAAGCTTTTTAATTAATTTCTTGAAAAAATAAGATTTTAATTTCAGCATTTTCAGCTGAAATTAAAAGTGACTATTACATGATAATGATATAATTAAACTCAAATTGTTCATTTTAGTTAACTTAAGTTCTACCTGCTACATACTTCAGTCCCAGTCGAAAGATGTTGCTTTCTGCTTTGAAGCATTTATTAAGCCTTCTGCTTTCCTAAAACCATATTTGTTCTGCTGACATCATGAGAAACAGGGTAACCTCTAGGATCCTCAAGCCTGCAATCAGCATTACATACCCAGTGAAGTAAGAAAAACTAATAGACATTTTTTTTTTGCTAAGTCTTCATCATAAAAATGAGTTACAGGCATACATATGCACATGAAATCACTGAATACCTAACAGATTTTATTTTTCTCAGCAGATGTTGCTGCTTATTCAGTCCTAACAAACCAATGTTTTTACATGTCGCAGATTTCATAAAATCTGTCTATTACGAAGAAACTGAAATTTTATGGACTGAGTGAAGCATTCCATTTCAGGACTTACACCTGTGGTCCTTTTGCAAGACACTGCGTCTAACTGGAGAAATACATGCTGGTTTCTGGCTCTCATTATAGAGTTGATTCAGGCAAATTTGACTTAACATGCTTCAATTTCACTACTGAGAAAAGTGTTTTTCAATAATATTATTATATATTTAAGGGCTAAATTTCCCTGTGATGGCTTGGTGCCCCAACAACAGGGTCGTTACCTGCCTCGCACCCATAGCCTCCGGGATAGGCTCTGGAGCCCCCGCGACCCTGATTACAGAAAATAGATGGGCTATTCAGATGGATGGGCTAAATAAGATCCTACAGGTCTTAAGATTGAACTACCTAGACATTGCACTTAAGATCAAGGTCCTCAAAGAATGTTTAGGATCTAGGAACTTCAAATTTAAGTGCTTCATTTAGAATTTGATTCTGCATTTTGCACACTGGAAATGTAACAGCCAGTCAATAATTTAACAACATCGTTTGAAACTATTTCAAAACAGTAGTTCCTTCTTAATTAATTGACAATCTTAATTAATTGAGATTCACCAATCCTATATAACCCATACTCACTCTGAGGGAACTTTGGAGGGTTGTCATTGACATCCGTGAGGACAATTTTGACTTCTGTTGTGCCAGACAGTCCGCCCATATGACCTCCCATGTCCTTAGCCTGGATGACCACATCATATTCCTGCCGGGCCTCCCTGTCCATATTTGGTAGGGCTGTTCTGATGATACCTGTGAAGGTACATCAACACTTTGGTTAGAGGCAAAGCAAAGGTAAAATGGTGGACGATCATACAGTCACACCAGACTCTATAGTGCCTGAGACTAATTATGGAGAAAGCAAAGGCTTCTCCATCTTACACAGAAATGTGAGCTACTAATTTAATAGCATTATATAACTTGCTAACACTATTTATGAATGCCATGTCGATAAGAATCTATGAGCCCATTCATAGCCAGGGCTAGACATAAAGGATTTAGGAGGGCACAGCCACTTTGGCCTTGGCTATTCATATTTTTTCTAGGGCACAAGGCCATTAAGCCTGGGCACAAGGCCAAAATTACTGTAATTACCAAGTTTAGACAACCTACGCAATACGACCTTCGATTTGAGACAGAATATATATATTTATAGATATATATAGCTTT